AGAGCCGCGAGCTTCTCCATGATGTTATCAAACTTGCGCTCCGTGGTCTTGTCATTCTTGTGCTCAAAGGGCAGATTCTGAGAACTCATGACCGCAGTGAGCTGCTCCAAGATGTGATCCAACTTGCGCTCAGAGGTCTTATTCTGAGTATTCACGGCAGCCGTAAGATTCTCAAAGATCTTATCTGTGCTGCACTCAATGAGCCCATTCTGAGAACTCACGCCTCGTCCCGTCGTTTCAATCCCAGCGGCCAGCCTTGTGGGGGTTTGAACAGTAAGCCAGGGCCAAGCCAGCTCCAATCAGCAAGAACCCTGTTATCATGGTTTTGAATAGGTAGATATCTTAAGCATCTTCCATCGACAGTCCCACCAGGCACACGATTCTCCATTTCTGCCACCCATCCATCGTCCGGCAGGGACACTCAGTCTCTCCCGAGCCCAGACTTCTCGTTGAGAAAAGGGTGTCAATGGCATTCAGGGACCAGTTGATCAAATCCATAATTCTCTTTTAGGTTTTAGAGAACAGACTGTGAGAGACTGTTCCAGGGAAAGTAATACAAAAAAACACGAGACTGGACAAGGACATAAGAGCTAAGCAGGGAAGATAAGAGAGAGGAGGAGAGGAGAAAAGTGCGACCGCCTTCGCCACCATAGTCTTTTGCATGTTTCTTTAACACCATTGTGTCTGCACTGTCTTGTGCCTGTATCCTTCTGTCTGGTGTTGCACTGTCTTTGTTTTTTTTGTTTGTTTTTTTTTCCAATTTTTTACATTTAAATAATATCACTCAGTCTTCCTATTTTCATCTTCATATTATTAACTGCTTTCATCCTTCACTCACTCTAAACAGTACCGCCATATTTGTCAATGCTCTTGTCACATCTCTTTTAGATTACTGTAATTCTCTGCTTTGTGGTCTACCTCACAAATCCCTCCATAAATTGCACTTAGTTCAAAATTACAGCTGCTCGTATTGTATCCAGAAGTAGATCCACTGAACATATAACAGCTGTTTTTAAGCAGCTCCATTGGTTTCCAGTTCACCTCTGTGCCAATTTCAAGATCCTGCTTCATACTTTCAAAGTGCTTCATAACCTCGCTCCTCCATAGTTATCTGATCTTGTCCATACATAGGGCTTTGGAGCAATCTCTTTGCATCCAGACGCAACCTGTCTCTATACGGTCCTTTTTCTCTTGAGCTGTTTTTAAAGCATGGTTGGTAGCAATCTTCCTTCCAACACGGTTTGTTTTGATACGTGCCCTTCAAATGTGGCGTCGTGCACCCACAATACATTGTGCCGTTACATCAATTCCAAAGCCCTATACTCACCCCCTCGTACACTCGGCTCTTTTTCAGCTTCCCTTCTGTCTGTTCCACCTGCCCGCCTGATGGGACTCAGAGCCTTTGGTAGACTTTGGATGCACTTCCACCAGATCTCCAGACCACAAACTGTTTCTTCACTTTTAAATTGCATTTTAAAACCATCTATTCAGAACTGCATTCCCTTCATTATGACTCTGTCTTAGTGCATTTTTACCATGCTTAGCTTTTATACTGTCATGCTTGTTTTTTT